ATATAACTATTAAAAACAATTAAAACCAAAGAAAAGATTACATGAAATTAAATAGGTCGGGTCTTCATTGATTAAAATGTGACGAATTAACGATAATTGAAAACAATTCTAATTTTAATTTTAATCATTTACGCGAGCACGCACGCGCGCAAATATTCGATTATATATGAATTCTTATACGCTGTCCGTGCTAAGTGATGTTAATTATAAAATATAGTTGTAAACCCAATTAAGTGTGTGAAATTAATATGCAATGTATGTAACACATATACTTTGCATGTGTCCATCGGGAAGATTATGAAACAAAATGGACGGTGTGTACCACGTGACTTTCGTAAACCAAGGTGCGGAATGTCGCAACTCTTTATATATATGGCTCTGGACACTCTTAATGGAGCGAAGTTCTAGTTCTCTTTATGTTAACCACGAAGATGTATAGTAAGTGTAACTGATTGGCTTACAGTAAACCTTCAAACCAGCGTAATATAACCACATTTAAACTCTAATTTAACCAAAAACAATAAGATACTTAATTAGGCCATTTTTTTAAATAAAGTTGTCTGAAGGTTGACTACAGAATTTACAGTACACTGTAGTTAACGTGTTATAGGTTGTAAAACTGTATTGAGTAAAAAAAATGTATTCCGGCCATCTAGAGGTGCCATAATCATATTAACAACAGTTGTGGGGCTGAGGCGGGTGGACATTCTATTTACGCAAGACTCTCTCTGGAACCCCTCTATTTCGACTTCGTGGACCCGCCACGGTTGGAGTATCATTTTCGAGCTTAGCTTATAGAAGGGTAATGTTTATCCATCGGGGGAAAAGTGAAGTTTTCGTCGGGGAACCCATATCAAGGATAACCCTCATAATAAAAAAAATTCATTGAGGTCGTGGAAGCAATCTCGACTTAGACTTTGTTCGGAAATCTGTGGCGCGTTCAAGGGGAGGGGGAGGCTAAATTGTTCAATTTTTTTTTGAATGGAGATTATAAGGAAAATTATATTCAAATCTTAAGTCTAAGAGTGTAATTTCCAGTCATCTAGAGGTGCCATAATCACAAATTTTCTTGCCTCATCCCCAACCATGGTGGGGCTGGGGTGGTATAGATTCTCCATCTGCTGAAGTACCCAGTGGCGGATTCAAGGGGACCCAGACGGCCCGCCCCCGCCCTCCTAAATTGTTCAATAAAAAATGATATATATGAGATATAAAGATAATTATATTCAAATTTTATGTCTGGAAGTGCAATTTCCGACAATCTAGAGGTTCTATTTCGAATTCCTGGATCCGCCACTGGAAATTACAACAAATATGAAATCATATTATAGTAGCTTGATGCCTATAAAAAATTCACCAAACTTTGCCCTTGGCGGAACCCTGGTCCTCCAGCCTAGATGCTCGCTTCGCTCGCATACTCGACCTCATTAAATGCCCCCCCCCCCACCACTTTCAAAAACGTTCCGCCGCCGTTGGCTCACATATGTTATATGTATGCTATGTACCAGTTGAAGCAATCAGGATATAAATGTGATTGAAGCAAGCTAATAATAATGTTAAGATTGTAAGTACCCACATTTTACACATTTTGTCTCGTCCTAACTCGTGATTATTTTTGAC